CGTACCGGACACGAAATTCGAAAGCCATCGGCATTCGCGTCTTATCCGTTTCCACGAGGCAACGATCAAACAATTGTCAACACTGCCCGACGCCCGAGATTAGGCGTTCGAACCGTTGCCATGACTCGAGACTCACGAAATCGAACGTGGCGTTCCTTTCGTCATAGGAACTCTGACAGAGTCATCTGTCATTAATTCAGTTTGTACATTACTCGATTTCATCACTAACTTCCCAAGGAAGCGTTCGTTAATGACGAGCTTTCATATCGAAAATCGAAAGCTTCGAATAAATAATTGAACGATTCAAATAATGAGAGATATATACGATGCTTCTTTTTTTCTAGTATTTAAGACTTCGATAGATAATTCAATGTTTGACAGAGTTGTCAACGGTTCGAGTTCTCGTCCGCGAAGGGTTAAAGAAGACATCAGAAATGGGTCATTTTCACCGATCGAACGGTCCCGCGGCTAAGCGGTGCCGCGATGATTCGATGTTACTTACAATACACTTGCCCCGGCAACAGTCATTACTCAACGGTGTAGGAAGAAAGTCCCGGGCAAGTAGATTCTGTCTTTGATCAGACCGTAAAAGGGAAAGCTGCCGGCGAGACACTGTGTTGCCGGGGCATTGCGTGGTTCCGTTCGAACGCCGGTGAATTTGTAACGCGAACGTTTCCGCCGGCGATAAAGATCGATGCAGCGGGGAATCTAATCTCGCCGTCCGACCGCGAGCATTATCTGCCGATAGCAGAAGTTCGGAGCGAGCCGGCGCCGTTATCGGGCTTTAATTGCCCTACCAAACACGGGCGCGACCGTGTCCATCGTCGGGCTGTTCGCGCGAACAATTTCGACACGCGCGATCTACTTCGCGTCCTCGCTAACGTTGACTTGACCCACTGGCCCACATGTAGGTCGTTTAAAACGTCCGTTCAACCTTGAAGCCGATATCAACCGCGCGTCCGTCCTCCGCCCTTTCCCGCGATTCCTCTAACGGCCGCTCCGCGATCGCGGGATCCGCGTCCGCGCGATCCGACAGCGCGTCACCGAGATTCCGTCGACCGTCCATCGCGGCGGCGATCGGTTCTTCGAACCGCGGTTCGCTCCGAACACGCGTAACGGGCAAAAAATCCGAGCAACCGTCGTTAGCGAGCGCGCGCGCTCGGACAGGACGCAATAAAACGTGGCGAACCGTGAACGCGTTGCTAGCTTTTAACGGTCAATTAGTGATCTACCGGTGGCGGCCGGTCCGAGCCGAGCGTCCGAGCCCGGCCGCCATCGCTGACTTCATCGACGGTACGCTACGCGGAACCGCGGGCGGATCTCCGAGGGGCGAGATCTCCGCGCGACCTAATGCCGCGGCTTGAGCTCCCTAACCTGCCTCAAAAGACGTCGCAGCGACGCAACGGATGATAAATCCTGTGTTTCAGTGTGCCGAGCGATAGCGAACTGGAAGGAACACGGCGCGTCGCGAACGAAGATGGAGGACGCAGGCTGCTCTCTCGGCGATTACGAGTCGCTGGGGCCTCGTAGACTCTTTCCTGCCTTCCGCTCTCTCCTCCCTTTTCCCCCGAAGAAAGCAACAGCGTCGAGACGCTCCGGGAACCGTGAACCGTCGGTTGGAAACGGATTCCACCTCGCGACGCACGAAGAGGAACGGAACAGTATGAATTTTACGCGGCACCGTTGCTCCCCGGAACGTAACGTCGAACCGCGAAGGTGCCGCGGAATGGGCGGATAATGCAGATTGATGACCGGATCGCGTCGATGCACTGCGACGACGCGGCGCGGAGGATCATTTATTATCGCGCGTCGCGAGATAACGAACTGGCCGATTGAATGTAATTGCCGCGGCGGGTAGTACGGAACGGCGAGGTGGGAAACAATGGGGGAAACGCGAAACGGCGAGCGCCGGTGGCGTAACGCGCGCGCGGCTCGCAAAAGAAAGCAGGGAAAGTATTGAAATGAAGCGTGAACACGGCGGGAGGGGGCTACGCTCGTTCGGAGGAACGAGGACCGAGGAATGGGACCGTTTAACGCGACGCACGATGATCAATAAGAGTGCCGCGCGATCTCGGTGATCGTAACCGACACGCCCGCGGGTCATCCCGCAACCGGTAACGCGGCTTTTCCGAGAACCGTGCAATAAAGCAATAAAATTGTAGGTGATTTAGCAACCCTCCTCGCGGCGCGATCACTTCGCGAGCGCGTCGACTTTCCGCCGGCGACGGCGAGTCCCGGCAATGTTGGCCACCCGTTACGCGACGACCATCGTATTCCGCGTCGTTTAGAAGCTGGGACAGCGCGAAAGCGAGTGTCGATTGATCGCTGTACAATTCGATCGAGTGGCGTTTCGCTAGCACCGGAAACGCCTGCGAGAAGAGGCATCCCTTCGTTATCCAGCCAATTACATCTGCATTCCTTTCAGGTGCCGATCCAGCAAGGCAGGACACCCGAAGTAATCGCCGAGTACCAAGGATCCAACATCAAGGACATCTCAGAAAAAAGCTAAACAACGATCGAGTCCCGGACCCCATCGCGAGGGATGAAAGATGGTCGACCGTTCGTTCTAACCCTCCGACGACCTCCGGCGCTCCTGCTCCGCAACAAGCAACATCGAGCACCCTTGGAACCGCGAGGCGGTTTACGAAACGTCCAAGTGGATTGGCCAACGAGTTTCTTCATCGAAAATATTTTCGAGAACTGTATCACGCGCGTCGCCGATGGAGTCGAATTCAAACCCGGCGTGGAAAGAGACGGCGGAAGAGCGAGCTGGCGCGCGGGCGCGCGCGCGAGGGAGAGCGAGAGACGGATACCACGGAGAGTGATAACGGAGAAGGAGAGTATCAGGAAAGTGGGCGGAAGGGAGACGAAGGTAGAGAG